AGCCTTCTCCTCTAGAGAATATTAGCAATTATAATTTGCAGTCATTATTAGTCTAACCACTGAAAGAAAAACATCCACGGACATGAATAGGATGTAGAAAGAAATACTTGGAGTCATGTGGGCTTCTATCACACCACAGAGCTTACATGTAGTGAATGCTGAACCCTTTATTTCATTTCGGCTGAGAAGTAGAATGCATTTTGTTGCTAAAGGAAGCTTGACCTTGAAATTTGAGTCACAGCATGATTGGTCCCTGGCCCTTGATGCATGTATGCGAAACAGATCTTCGCAATCCTGACATAGCAGATCGTGTGGGTCTGTCCAGTGGTTTCTTAGTCATTTGCACACCTTTCTGGGGAAGGTGAAATTCTCAGAGGTTTCTCTGATGTCTCTCTGATGACAGGAGGTTCAGGGAATTGCCTCAGACCTTTGCCTGGAGTCCCTTGACCTGCTAGTCTGCTGCTTCTGTTGCTGCTCCAAACCAGCATGGCGCATGGCACTGGGGAGCTGTGGGACCTTGCTCACTTTTAAAGTCCCTCTTGGGAAACAAGATACAAGTGGTAACTGCTTTCAGAGGCCCAAATCAAGCTGGAGGTGCTATGAACAATTTGCCCAATTCTCATGGGAAGGGAGAGGAGAGATCTTGAAGATGGTAAAAAATATCCAACAAGCTTGATCTGCACCAATGCCTTTTTCTTTTCCTTTTCCATGGCCAGTGAAATCTTTTCAGGTCCAGCTCTTGATCAATTTTGGGTTCTTCCAAAATTCTTTATTCTTTGCATTAAATTTGGCATTTATTTCCTTCCTCCCTAGTGTCTATCTTGAAATGGCAAAGCTGAGAATGGACCCCGGGCAGTAAGTCTGGTTCTACTAGCTGCTGCCTGAAACCAGGAGGAAGGCCATAGGGTACTGGGCATTACTAGCAATAAGAAACACAGAAGTGTCCTAGCTGGTTTGGCTCAGTGGATAGAGCATCGGCCTGCAGACCCTTAACTCAATTAAGGGTCCTGGGTTTGATTCCGGCCAAAGGCTCATGACCAGGTTGTAGGCTCTATCACCAGTAGGGAGGGTGCGGGAGACAGCTGATAAGTGATTTTCTCTCTTCATTGATGTTTCTCTCTCTCTCTCTCTCTCTCTCTCTCTCTCTCTCTCTCTCTCTCTCTCTCTCTCTCTCTCTCTCTCTCTCTCTCTCCCTCTCCCTGTCCTGTCCGATGCTTGATTCCGGATCTTATGTAGCTGCCATGATTTTCACTAAGAGCCAGTGAGATATTGGACTCAACGAACCTGCTTTTACTCTCTTAACACAAATAATAATTTAAAAGAACAACCCACTTTCTTAAAGGAAACCACTTCACTTTTACAATACAATCCTGAATTCTATTTAGCTCTTTTGTTGTTGATTTCCTTCCCTAGGGCCAAAATATACTCTTTTCTTTTTCTGGCTTGCAAACATGAATTCATATCTCCTGAGCTTGCCAGAGAGTAAAACTAAACAGTTTTGGCTTTGGCCAGGTTTTAGGAAAATGGAGACGAAATGTAGGTGTTACAGGAAGAGACATAATCCCAGTTGGTCAGCCCTTGCCTTCACAGTATTCCCTAAATCGTGTTGCAGTATGTTATTGTGTTGCTGTGAACTACCGCTGCCAACTTCCACCCCAGAGATGGCTACATTTCAGAGATGAGTGAACCGATACTTGTAAACAGGCTTATAATCATTAATCAAGCTTACCAAACAATGTGAGCTCTTTAGAAGCACACATCCTCTATTATAACTAATTGCCGATTGTTTATTTAATTACGACCTTTAATAGAGACAAGAAGACTTGTAAAATGCAATGGATAAAAATTCCCCACTTCACTAAATTTGTTTTCCTGGTGCCTACTGCATTTTTGTAGGTCTCAAGTATCCAGTGACTTCTCTCTGGGAGTGCTGGCTGAAGTTCCACCGTTTGACTATTCCAATGCACTCTCTAAAAATTAAAAATTCCTAAAGAAGGTTTTTCATTAAAATTGACAACTGCCCACTCTGGGGTCCAGATGCTATACTCATGATATGATGATTTTGTTCTGTTTGCCATACACGACCTTTTCAGATACTGGCTCTTGATGATGGGAAATTCTGCCTCTCTTTGTACATTTTTACGGCAAACTTTTATTAGAATGGCCTAAAACCAGGTCTTCCCATTCTTGGTGGTGTCTAGCTCAGGGTTATTCAAGTTGGGTTTGCTGAAGATCTTGGTAGTAAAGATAAATCCATTGGCCCTTTTTGAAGTGCCTACTTCATGCAGAACTCACACCAGCCACTGAGTGTAAACAGCACTAAAGATTCCAATAAGCAAAAGGAAATTTAATAAACACCAGTGGGTCCCTGAAAGAATATGCTGGAATCTGGGTGGTCTTTGAGGCCTGTGTTGTTTATGTAAATGTGTCCCCTTCTTACCCCTCAAAAGTTTTTAAACTATCTGGTTGCTTTTCTGTCACACGTAGTACACTGGACCCTAACATACCTTCATTCAAAAAATACTTAATGAAAAGATCTTTAGTTTTTTAGAGTTTTATGTACTGCAGCTAGTAATCTGTAGACATGATGATGCTAAAACAAAAACAAACAAACAAACAAAAAAACCCCATGGAGAACATAAATGAATTCCTTAAATGAAAAACTTTTAAACGGTGCCTGAAAGTAATAAGCACAATACCTGATTACTTTAATGGCCATTTTAAGTTGGAAAATTGTATGCACATCTATCATATTGTTTTATTCTCAAAATTAGTCGAAGAAACAAAAAGCATAGTCATTCAACAAACCGAGTGCCTACTGCTAGCTAGCTCTGTGAAGTGATTGATCCTGGGTACACGAGGCAACCCAAAGGACTTAGACTTTCTCTGGGAAAATAAGACACGAATGGAAATAAAAACGATAAAGGTAGTATAAAAAAGTCTCTCATAATTGAGAAATGGGTGGGCAAAGGGAAATTTAGAAGTATGTGCCATACTATGCTAGGAAACATACACTATCTCAGAATACTTCTCCCAGCTCTGCACCAGCTATTTTGTCTACCTAAATTCCTTGCCTCAGGAAGCTGAGTGGCCACCACGGACTAGATCCTAACTTCCTGGCAGAGCTAAAACATCAAGCAAGGCTCCTGACTCATCAGCCATTACCCATAGATCAGGCTGGTGTGGGAAAAGCACAGTGTTAACATATCCCCATTTTCTTAACAAAGTCCATTTCATTCCAGCAGCCTGATGGGGGATATGGGGCAGGGAGTGAGGGGTGAGGTGGGGCGGGGCTCAGGCCTTGCAGTTAGGAGCAGCTAAGGCATTGTCTGTACTTTTGGCGAAGCTGTTGGCTTTTCTTAGTTGATGGTATGTGACCAGAATGGTCTCTGGATTTGACTTCAGAAACCAGATAGTCTAACAGACCACGAGTGTCCCACAGGATTCTTTTGACATTGAGTCCATAGAGTCACAATGGAGTCTTAGACATGAGTTTTCTTATTATCCACACAGAAACTGAGGCTCAGCCTGGATGGAACTGGGGAGCATTATGCTGAGTGAAATAAGCCAGTCAATGAAAGAAAAACACCACACAATCTCACTCATTTATGGATAATAAAGAACATTATAACCCAATGAATGAAAAGATAGATATAGAGGCAGTAAAGCATCAAACAGACTGTCAAATTTCAGCGGGAAGGTTGGGGAGGGATGGGGGAGATAAGAGATCAACTGAAGGACTTGTATGCATGCATATAAGCATAACCAATGGACGCAAGACACTGGCTGGGGGTGAGGGCATGTATGGGAGTGGGGGGGGGCAGTGGGAATATATGTACACATGTAATATCTTAATCAAAATGAAAACCAAAAACTGAGGCTCGGGGAGGGGAATGACTGGACCAAGGCGACACGGACGGATGGTGGCCGGAAACAGGCCTGATGACTCCAGCCCAATGCCTCCCCTCAGTTATCTTTATTCATCCCTGTGTTAGTTTCGGAATTATCTGCATCCCTCTCTCACTTTCCTGTGGGGGGAGGGGGGGGGGAAGAGGAGGGGAGTCATTCCAATCCATTAACAGCCTTTTATTATTTTATTTTATTTTATTTTATTTTATTTTATTTTATTTTATTTTATTTTATTTTATTTTATTTTATTTTATTTTATTTTATTTCAGAAGAAGAAGAGGGGATAAGGGGTTGAGAAAACTGTTTTCAGTTGGGGACTGATTCATTCCATCCCTGTTTATGGAAGGTCGGCTCTGTGCCAGGCACAAGGTGTCCGGGACACAGCAAAGACGGCTCCCAAAGACTGAAACGGGGTCTCTCTGCATCTGGCCGGGCTCCCAGGGGCAGCCCCCGAGTCCCCGGAGCCCAGCGCGGCGGCCGGCGGCCCGGAGGACCCAGCCCCTGAGCATCCCGCCCGGGAAGCCTGCGGGCTCCACGCGCCCTCGGTTGCCACGGCAACCAGGGCGGCGCTGACCCCCGACCCCGCCCGGCCCCGCCCCGTCGCGTCCCCGGGCGCCGCGTGGAGAGGGGCAACCCGGAAGTGCCGCCGCCCCCACCGCCCGTCCGCTGCCGGGAGCCGTCCGCCCGGCCCGGCCGAGCCCGGTGCCCGCCGCCCCGGTGCCCTCCGCCGGCCCCGGGCCCGCTCCGCCCGCCGCGCCCCGCCCCGCCCGCCCCGCCGCGGGGAGGAGCCGAGCGCGGGAGGCGGAGGCGGGAGAGGCTGCGAGAGGGAGCGAGGCCTCCGGGCCGCGGGCGGTTCGTATTACCGGGGTCCGAGGAGGAGGAGCCCGGCGGGCCCGGGGCAAGCCCGGGGCGGGCGGGGGGCGCGAGGGGCGCCTGGCCCCGAGGAGGCGGGCGGGGGCCGGGGCTGCGGACCGGGCCGGGCGGGGCGCCTCCCCCTCCGCAGCCCTCCGCCCGCGCCCCGGAGGCCCGGCCTCACCTGCCCGCAGGCCCGGGAGCCGCCGCCGCCGCCCAGGGCCCGTCCCCGGGGCCGGCGGGGCGTGAAGGTGCGGCCGGGGCCGGGGGATGCTGGGCCCCTGCGCCTCTGAGGACAGGGCCCCCCCAGCGCGGCCGCGCCCCCGCCCCCGGGCTGCCCCCCGGGCAGGGCGGCCCCTGGCCCTCAGCCCCCCGGGAAGCTGGGCCGCGGGGCGCCCTTAGGGATGCGGTGACCGGGGCCCGCTCTCCCGCCGGGAGGGGCGCCGCCTGCGCTGGGACAGGGGGGGACGGGGGGCCCCCGCAGAGCCAGGGCGGGAGGATGCTGTCCGAGCAAGCCCAGAAGTGGTTCCCGACCCACGTGCAGGTCACCGTGCTCCAGGCCAGGGACCTCAGGCCAAAGGGCAAAAGCGGCACCAATGACACGTACACCATCATCCAGCTGGGCAAGGAGAAGTACTCCACCTCCGTGGCCGAGAAGAGCCTGGAGCCGGTGTGGAGGGAGGAGGCCGCCTTCGAGCTGCCCGGCCTGCTGGTGCGGGGCAGCCCCGACAAGCACATCCTCCTCCTGGTGGTGATGCACCGGTCCCTGGTGGGGCTGGACAAGTTCCTGGGGCAGGTGGCAGTCAACCTCAATGACGTCTTTGAGGACAAACAAAGGAGGAAAACCGAGTAAGTGACGTCATTTGCTTTGACTTTGGGGGCGCTTCGCTGTGTATGGATGGATTTTTGATTTTTTTTTCTGTTCTTGGAAATTATCGGTCTATGTGGGGCGTTGGGTTTTTTTTGGAGGAGGATGTGACCCAGTTTTAAGCGCCCCAGCTGCATGGCTGGGAAGTTAAAAATAGCCCTGGAGAAGAAACATTTTCTTTTAAACGGAGTCTTCAGGTGGTCCCTTCCTCTCATTTGTTCCCAGGACTCACCTTAAACAGTTGAATACTTTGCCCTGGACTGTAAGTCGATGGACATGGTTTCTTATGAAAAGACTGGGTCGCAGTGTTGACCGGCTCAAACAGCACGTGTGTAAATGGCCGTCTTTAAACACTACACATTTCCAGGAAATGGAATAGCGGAAAACCGAATCTGCCAGTATGAGGTCATCTAGAAGGTTGGCCTCTGAGGCTGTGAGAGGTACAGGATCACACTGAGCGCTCAGTTTGTCATTTCAGCATTGTAACCACAGGGGCCTTGATTGGAACGCAACCGCTTTGTCAGGTTACCCACGTCTCAATGGTGCCTGAAGCTGTTCACAGAAAGAGAGTTTTGAAAGTATGTGCACACATCCTCAACTCGAACACACCAACATTTTCCTTTGAAATTCCAGTATTCTTGGAGCTGCTGTGTCACTGCAGAGTTACTTCTGCAAAACCAGTGCGTTTAGATCATAGTGAACGTCAGATTGGAGACAGTGATTCCATTCTTGTGATGAGATGATGTAATGATAGCTCCAATGAAAATGTGGCTTTTGATAGATGACTTTAGCTCAGGCTAAATATATTCTCATTTTAAAAACCATGATATGAGTTAACACTAGGGTGTTAGGTCTCACATTGAAAAGTAGTATGTTTTCAGAGCTCGGTATTTCACCCCTTCCTCCAACATAACTTTTCTGTTCTGAGAAAACATCATAATTGATGGAATTAATGAGATCATTATAGGTTGAATTTATGAGAGGAATTGAAATTTCCAAAGTAGCTTTGCTGTTTATTTCAGTGATAACTAAAATTTAGTTATGCTTTTAGAAACTTTTGCATAATGATAACTTTCTTGACAGGTTAATTTCTTATTTTAAAGCGACCACCCCTTGTTTTTTTTGTTTTGTTTTGTTTTGTTTCTATGCATTTCTTCAAGCTTTTCTTGATTGGAATTTTAATTTTAATTTTAAAATGTTTTCCATCAGATCTGGACCTAAGACTGAATGCACAGGGTAAAAGGGTGGAGAGAGAAGAAATACTAGGCATGTAAGACAAACAAAGGTAAATATTTAGACTAGGTAAGGATATGAAAACATTGTGAGGGAAAGGGCATTTAAAAGTATAAGGCTGAGTATATATCAGTGATTTTAATAAAACTGTTTGATACCTACCAAGTGGCATTTAGTTTCCTCTCAGGGATTTCTCCAATTTAAATTGAAAATGGATAATTATCAAATAACTTGTTTCACATGACCAGTTTTGGATGCCACTATAATATTCAAGGTGTTTTGAGTGAACTTGGAAGTATTATATATTGTTCTCACTGCATTGACAGTACTTCTGCGATGAATGCTGTATTACAGGCCTCCCTCAACTGTACATTTTCCAAGGGAGAGGAGGCCCCAAGGTGAACCAAGAGATTCTGAGGATGAAATAAGCTTTTAAACTTTCTCCTTGCTTTACTCCTTATTTTTGGCAACATCACAATTCTAAACCATTTCGCTGTAAACAGTCATACTGAGGCCTCCCTGTGGATATTCTCTGTTGGCTACTATATAAAATGGGTTAGAACTTTTTTGGGGAAACGCTTTAAAACGTTATCAACAGGGCTTGCGTTGTTATTGCATTCGAAGCGATTTTCATGTTATTAAACCCCTACCATTTTCTTTCTTTGTGGATAAACAGGGACTACATATTAGATGAGGTATCTTTTATTGGTAATATTTCTTGGTTTTTAATATATTTAATAGTTTCCTTTTGCAGCACAGCTGTGCCTGTGGCACAGTGAGAGACAGACTTGAGTCACTGGTGTATTGCAAGAAAGATGTTTAATATTCTGCACATTGCTGGGCCTTGTCAGCGTATTCCCAAGTGCTTTTTAGAAAACTGGTCTGAAGGATGAAGGTTACCCGCTGAGCTAGAAGTCCCATGAAACTGCTGGGTGTGACACTTCTTACTCTTGACACTGAGGACAAGTATTTACAGCCTGTCTTCCAGTTGTGTCGTGATGGGCAAAGAAGTGTGCTAGCTAAGATGATTATTTTACTTATTTTCATACCTTGAAGTTAAATACCTTTTTTTTTTTTTTTTTAAAGGAGGGTTGTGGGAAGGGGTCTGTGGCAGAACACTTTGAGCGGAGCCTGGAAAAAGAACTGTGCCTCCCCCTTTCATGGGTGTCTGGGTTGGTTCTGGCACAAGATTTAAGGAAATAATACAATGTTTAATAATAGAATGGTAAAATTGTTCATGCTGTTATGTAATATCTATTGATTTAAAAAAAATTTTTTTTTTTTTACAACAGAAGTGGGTGATGTTGACTTTTTTTTTAATGCTTATGAAAAGTAATAACAATCAGAGTCCCCAGAGTTGGGTATGACTCAAACACATGCCGGTTTTAGGACTTTGGTGTGTCTCTGCAGTGCACCTGCGCCCTGGCCTCTGGCACCCTCACTGCCAATCTCGTCCCATTTCTGACCACACAGCACCAATTGCTTGGGAATAGTTCCCACATGTGTGGTGCTTTTTGAACATGGACCTGTGCCCACTAAAAATTGAACAGAGGCCATATACAGTTTAAATCCAGCACTCAAAGAGGTGAAAAAAAAAAAAAAAATCAGCCATTAATCCACTAAGCCCCAAATGCTATGTCTTCATTTTGTCTGTTTGAAGCCTGGGAAAACAAGTTTTATCTCGGGGGCGATTTTTGAAGGTCTCATTAAGACTTCCTCTAGTTATTTGTCATGCCTGGGTTTTAAATTAGTATAGTTCAAGTTCTTTGCAGTATTTTCGGGAGGAAGCTGGGAAAGACTATATTAGTATTTACAGGTTTTATTCAAGCACTGACATGCTTTATTCTTTAAAGCTCATCCAAGACATTAGTGTTCCCCACAAAAAAGCAAAACAATGCAACACACACACACGCACGCACGCATGCACGCACGCCCGCGCACACAGTGTATTATAGCTTGGTTGCTTTAAAATACAGTCCTAGAAATAAGTCAGTGGACATTTATTTAGTGCAAGGTGAGGTGAGCTGAGCTGCCTGCATGGAGCTTACATTCTGGTGTAGAATGCATTGCCTTCGTTGGCTGTTGATTAAATAGAGTGCCCGTAACATGTGACCAGCTGTGATTTTAATCTTATTAGCATTATGGTTCATCAAATATGGGAGAACTTCTGTTTTCATGCAGATGTTATTCATCAGCTTTGGATATTTTCTTTATTGACTTGAACTTGACATTGGACGTTACTTATATTCTCTGTGCCTCATTTTAATCATCTCTGAAATAAGGATGTTAAAGTAGAAGATTTACTTGGCTTATTAGTAAAATTCTATGAATTTTGATTACCTTTACCACCTTTTATTTATTGGGTTATTGTTTTACTTTTTTCTCCATTTGCTTTGACTTGTTACACATGTGGAAATCCTACATTCTTGGTTTCTTTTTGCCTTGTTTTTGGTATATTTCTAACAAAGTGTATTCACCTGTTTTCTGTCAAGCCTGAGATGTTACTGAATATTTCTGCAGTATCATTCACCAGAAGTGTTTCTCCCCCATTGAAAATGATTCTATTTTCCAAATTCTAAGTTAGTAACTGGGTATATAACCTTGTCTCATTTCCAGACTTTTCGAGTGCCCAAGTGTGTTCAAGGTTCTGTTTTCCACAGAGTTTATTGCTGTCAGGTCCAGCCTCGGCATCTTCAGATTTTGCCATTTGCCTCAGATAAAAGGATTTTCTCAGTTTAGGGTTTGCCGCTCTGTTGCCTAATGAGTTTGCCGACCACTGCTTTAGGGTATCAGGTTGATGCTTTCTATTATGAGATATTCTTTTATTTTAAAAGTTGCTTGTTTGGGTGAAGCTAGATCTTAATTGACTGGATTGCTTCACGTTAATTAAGAAAAGATTTCTCTTGCATGTTACCTGCTGAAGTGTAGCTGGTATGGAGGTTCTGTGCCAGTTTTCTCTCCTGCCTGTACAGGAAATATACCTTCTTCTGGCACATCCTGTTAGCAACAGTGAGAGAAAGCACTAATGTGAAATTAGACCAGGGCTCCTTTGTACCTAGGAAAATTTGTTACACTTGATCAGAGCTGTGTTTAAATAATAACCCGTCTGCAGGAATGCATATTATGCTTCATTGTTAAGTAATGTGAAAACATTGTCGAGACTGTCTTCTCGACTGGATTTTGCAGTTTGTTGGCTGTTTGCCCTACAGAATGATCACTTGTGACACTGACAACTGGAGACTTTCTCATGGATAAAAATACTGTGGACAAAAGCAAAATAAACTCTGTTTCTTATACATCATTTAACAGTGGGCAATGTCACACAGCGAGTTGCCTAACAGCATAGGATTTGGCTCCAATTAAAATAATTTTTATTCAGTATTGTCACAGTAGCAATAGTAAATGAAACAAAGATTCCAGCAGGAAGTATTTAGGCTTTGTTTTTTCTTTAGAAACTCTTTATGAGATTTATTACTATTTGTCACTTCCTGCCTTTTATTCATTTTGCATTTTTTATTCAGGAAAAGGCTTTGGCCGTTATATATTAATCTAAATTACATCATATGCAATTTTCATGATTAAAAAGCCACATGTAGTGGGCTCCAATATTAACAAAATTACTTTAATCGTCTTTATGGAAGAAATTTGGGGATGGAACTAAATGTTTATTACTTTATTAAAAAATGTGGCCATTAGCATTTTTATAGAGCCTCAAAATGGTTTGTATCAATGAATTCTTTCAAAGACTGTACTTGAGTGTCTTTTAATTAAAAAAAAATGTTTTTAGGCCCTTAGAAACACTTACCCCAGCTGGAAATATAACAGCTCTCAATGGTAAGAATCTTTTATGTGAATGATTTTCAAATCATGAAAGAAAAGTTTATCTGAAATCCTTCTCAAACTTACTGAAAACCTACTTCTTCAGTACACATCACATCCCAGAGAAGGTGGTAAGTTTTAATAACTGACAGTGAGTAAAACCAGTAGTACTCTCTGGGACAAAATCTCCTCCATTGCATAGCTTCGTGGGCACTAGCTTTGCCCGAGAAGATATTTGTATGTAGCCACGCTTGATGTCCTCTTATCATTACATGTTACAACCCAGTTTTTCCTTCTCTTTAAGGTGGTTTAGATTAGAATCCAAACAAGGAAAAAGAGCCAAAAACAGGGGTGAGATAAAGGTCAATATCCAATTCATGAGGAACAATATGACAGCAAGTATGTTTGACTTATCCATGAAGGACAAAACCAGATCGCCTTTTGCAAAATTAAAAGATAAGATGAAAGGTAGAAAAAACGATGGGACATTTTCCGACACGTCTTCTGCAATCATTCCAAGTTCCCACGTGACGGATGCTAATGCTGAGTTTTCCAGTGGTGAGATGCAGCTGAAATCTAAACCGAAAAAGCCTTTCCTTCTGGGGCCTCAGCGGCTCTCTTCTGCGCACTCGATGTCTGACCTAACGGGGGCCCACGTGTCCGCGGAGAAGCTGAAGCCTGGCCCCGCGGGGCCAACGCATCTCCTCGGCCGCCAGACAGAGCCCTTCGGAGCCGTGCCCGAAAGTGGTGAGTGAACGTTCTTGCTAAGGGCATCCTCAGTGGCTGACATACCCTTTTTAGTTGTTTAAAGTTTAACTTCTAAAATTAAAAAATAAAAATTACAGTTTCTTGGTAGTGTTTTCTAAAGGTAGTGACCAGCTATTTATTGAATACCTACAATCCTCAAAATTGGAAAGTTTATTAAGGACAGAGCCTGTCTGCATTCAGTATTAGGTGATGATAAGAAAATGAGACCCAGTCACTTTTCATTGCCTGGCTTCATTTTTTAAAATAACTTTTTTAAAATATATTTTTTATTGATTTTTTTACAGAGAGGAATAGAGACTTAGAGACATTGATGAGAGAGGAACATCAATCAGCTGCCTCCTGCACACCCCCTACCGGAGATGTGCCCGCAACCAATATGCATGCCTTTGACCGAATCGAACCTGGGACCTTCCAGTCCGCAGGCCGAGGCTCTATCCACTGAGCCAAACCGGTTTCAGTTTTTTAAAATAATTTTTTATTGATGGAATGATTAGAGAGAGAGAGAGGAAGAGGGGGAGAGAGAGAGAGAAACATTGATTTGTTGTTCTGCTTGTTGATGTGTTCATTGGTAGATTCTTGTATGTGCCCTGACGAGGGATCAAACCCGAAACCTTGGTGTGTAGGGACAACCCTCTAATCAACTGAGCTACGGGCCAGGGCTTGGCTTCATTTTTTCTGCTGCTTCTCCTGTCTGGAAAACCTGAAGCATAAGTGAATATTCCATTTAATCAGAACGTTTCTAGGAAAAAACTTATGTTCATAAGAAAGAAAGTAAATTTAATACTAATGATGAAAAAAAAGTCTTTGAGAATTACAGCACTATCCTGACAAGCAGAACCTCTAAGCTTTGACATTCTAGTTTGTTATTTTTCTTTCTGAGCTGAGTAAATTTCTGATTGTCTAGCAATATACTAATTATTATTAGCCTGCATACTCCAGATTGCTATACCATAGCATTTTCGGGTTGTTTTCTTTGGTTATTTTAAAGGTTAAAGCTTTAAATAGCTAATTGCGCTCCTTCTAAAAGCAGCAGTGTGCACACACAATGTGTCACAGTGTGAGGTAATGTGTCACTGATTATGCACTGACTACAAAATTATTTGCAGGAAGTCTCAAATCTCCACCCAGAAGAACATTAAGCTTTGATACCTCTAAAATGAACCAGCCTGACCGCAGTGTGGATGAAGGCGCCCCATCTTTCGGAAGACAAAACGACCCATTTACAAACGTGACGGCTTCCTTACCCCAAAAATTTGCAACACTGCCAAGGAAGAAAAATCCATTTGAAGAAAGCAGTGAATCCTGGGATAGCAGCATGACTTTATTTTCAAAATCAATTGAAGCAAGAAAAGAAAATAAGAGAGAGAAAAGGGAGAAAGTTAGCCTATTTGAAAGAGTGACCGGAAAGAAAGATAGCAGAAGGGCTGATAAACTCAACAATGGGGCAGCCGAGAGCCCCTGTGACTTGAAATCACCTAATGCGTTTAGTGAAAATCGTCAGGACTATTTTGATTATGAGTCAACTAATCCGTTTACAACAAAATTCAGGGCTTCAAATCTAATGCCATCTTCACGGTAAGCTTCCCCTGGGGTAAGTTGTGCTATTTGAGAAGTATTGTCCTTGAAAGAATCAAATACCCTTCTAAAAAATACTTGAATATTCCAAAGTCCTTTTATTTTACTTAAAAAATGTTTATCTTATTTTTCCAATTATGGATTCAGACAATGTTGCAAACATCTTTGGATTTGAACTTTTGATCTTGGGAGGATGAAAGATTCTTATTCCTTACCCTAGTTTATTTCGACGTAGGGGACCAATAGCAGCCCGTTTATTATTTATTCTGCAATAAATACTGACTTAGGTATTAATGGTTTTCATAATAGGTGTTAAGTGTCCTCATCAAATGGCTGGGTGGAAGTCGTTTTATTTGTGAATGTTTATTGGGATTCAGGGACCCCTGTTGGGCACTATAAATACATAAAAAATAGCTATATAACCATTTATAGTCATAGAAATAATCACTATAATGAAGATTAGATTTGGAAAACATGAGTTCTCAGTTGTGTAATGGTACTTTTCCCATTTCTTAGTACAAGTTGGAACTATACACCTTTAAGATTATGGATTGTGCAGAAATGAAAGATGGAATAGCCAATTAAGGAATCTCAAATAAAGAATAAGATGAATCTATTGCGACTTATTATAGAAATGCATGGTAGGATGTTTGCTGTGTAACATGGCATTTTTTCCCCGCGGCGCTCATGTATACAGACCTGAGTGGGAATCCTGGCTTAGGAGCTCTGTGACCTCTGTAAACCTCAGCATCCCTACCTTTGGAACAGAAGAATTCCTGCTTGGTAGGACTTAGTGATGGTAAGTGATAAAGTATAAGGAACAAGGCCAGGCTCCAAATAGGGAACCCATAACGGTGGCTGCTGTTACGTTGTATAGACTGTTGTCATATTTTATTTAAACAGTGCTTAACTTTGTCCCACAATAAATGTAAACTGCAGCATTGACACTTAACCCCTTAGGCGGTGCTCTCCCACCTCTCCATCATCTAACGGTTCATTGAAACATGCACTTAAACCTTTCAGAGGGAAGTGTGTATTTTCTTTTCTTTCATTAATGGGTATTTGCTGTGGCTTTAGAAAGTCTTGGTCACTTTTCTTTATAGACTATAGAAAAAATTTATTTTTATCTTATGACATTAATATTTTAATAATAGTTTTGATATGCTATTCTCAAATATTTTGTTTTGGGATTTTACATAGTGTACTTTACATATTGCATTAAGTCCTAAATTATGGGGGTAAATAGAAATCCATTTGCATTTTTTCCCCTTCTTTTTCTGAACTTTTTTTTGAAGAAGATTGTTGAAAACAACTGTCCAAGATAACTTAGAGATTGGGTAAGTTAGAGTCAAAGAAAATGGGAAATGGTAGAAGAATGTTTTTGAATTATGGCAGCCTATGGAAAATAGGTGTCCTCAAAGCATCACTTGCCCTACGCTTGGACTAGTACATGGACTGCCATTGGTTTTAAAAGTGAGTGTGGCATTTTGCCAGATTGAGGCTTTGTTTTTGGGTTACTTCAGTATTAATGCATTTTCTTTAAAAATTAGAGCTGTTTCACGTTATATGTATAAAATGATGGCAAGCATATAAAAAATAGATTTTAAAACCTTAAGACTTTCTCTCTTTTATATTCTCTTAATATTTTGTGAGGACAGAAACATTCGCAGGCTCTTGGGAAGTTACTCTTTTTGTGGCAAAAATCACCTTTGTGGTAAATTTAGAACATTTACCATAGAGTAGCTCTAGTTAATAAGATTGAATATAAACAGATCGAGGGAGAGCATGCCATTCACATTTGGGGGAAGGGAATTTGGGAGGATACGGGTGGGGGTAGTTTTGTCTTTACAAAACAGCACATACCTGTTTATCGTCCAGTATCATCCCTCAGTTAGAGGGGACATTTTAGATTTCTCACATTAGCATCTAAAACAAGTGCCTTTTAAAGCTATGGACTCACATCACTAGGACGCATGCTGTGCATTTTTTCTCAGTAGTGCTAAAGAGATCTCTCTGCAGAGTTTCCAGGACTCCTGTGACTGACTGACGTTGTGGGGATGGGGACAGAGTTAGGGTGGGAATGGGGTTTGTTCTCTGGGTTAGCTGGCTCACCTGTGCTGTTACCTCTGAGTGAGTAATGCATACAGTTACAACAGGAGAAGTTTCTTAATCCAGAAATTTCTAAAGCACCGAGAAACACTTTCTGAGAAGTTCCAGCTTTCATTTCTTAGTGTCAGTAAAATCCACCTGAAGAAATCACCTTGAAAATCACAGAAATCCTGTATTTTGCTTCTGTTTCTGGAATAGATCCCATGGTCTTGCATAGAAGTGGTAAGAAAATGAGTTAGGGTTTTTGTGGGGTTACTTCAACAGAGAACAGGGCCCTTTGAACCACTTTTCCCCCAGGTGACTCGTCTCCATCCTCTTCAGGCCCCTCTTAGAAGCCCCTCCTCCTGGAGGGAGGTAGTGATGCAGAATTTCCCTACTCCTCTGACCTTCCCTGGCATCACATTCCCTACCAGACCAATCCCTCTGTCCTCTCCCACCACCATGAACAATCTGAGGGCAGTGCCTGCATTTCATTCATCTTTTCTGTCCTTAATCTCCCGCATGACGCTTAGTAAGTAGTAGGTGTTAGAAAAACACTTTAGAATAACTCAACACAGTGGAATAGATGGATTTCCTAAAAGGCTATTTCCATCCCCCTAGTCTCCTCTTGCCACCCAGCATGGGCTGTGAAGAACTTTCTGATAGGCTGAAAATGGACCCAGGAAGGCAAATGTGTGCATGTTTATGCCCAGCCAAACATCATTAAAACCTAAGTGAGTTTCTGAGGACTATGAAAACTTAGTATTCATACCCTCAGCAGCACATTTCTGGAGTTTATGAGGAACGCTGGGTTAGTTAGGATAGGTACCACTTGTAATAGTGGCTAATCACAGCAGAGCTTTATTGTTCGTTGTTGTCACAGCCTAGTTCACTAAGCTGGGAAGAGAGGTGTGCTGTGCTCCATACAGTGATTCAGGAGCCAGGCCCCTCCTGGTGAAGCCCCCCTTCCATACGTGACCTCCAGGTCATGCAGAGGGGGAGAGAGTGGAGGGTCACATGTGGGACATCCTTAGTGCCGGGCCTGGCAGTGCTGTGCAGGCTTTCCATATGTCCCATTGGCCAGAGCTCAGTCCTGGCCCAACCTCAGTGCAGCCAGTTAAGAAATCCGGGTTAGCTGTACCTCTGGGGAAGCTGAATTGGGGGTGAGGAGTTCGCAGTTCTGTTTGCTGCAGATGCCAGTTCTAAGAAGTCTGCATGCTGCAAAACTCCTACTGTGTGCTGCAAAACTCCTACTACGTGCACAGGTACGTGAAAGTATAGTTGGAATTATCAGCTCATTTACTGACAGTGAGTTGTTTGTGTTTTAAAATTGCTTCTACTCTTGCTTCTTCATTGTAAATCACAGGTAGTTTAGCATCATCAGTATCAACTAATTTGGTATATGATTAACCCTACAGTTTGTAAAGCTCTGCTTTTTTGCATCAGCAGAATATCGTTTTAAAAAAACAAATATACCTAGATGTTTGTTATACCATTTTCAATAATGTGTTCACACCAATTTTTTTCTTTAATACTGCGTTGTTTTTCCACTGAAAAGTGCGAGTGGGCAGTTTGTTCACTAAACGACATCCCAGATATTTCTTTTTAACAAATACACAGAATAGACCCCATTAGATAAGAACCTGTGACCAAGTTCTGGGTTCTTGGCGAATTAGCGAAGAGATATACAGTATTTCCAGGGCTTGTCCATGAACATCTCCTCCACACTCGTCCACATTGTCTCTCCAGACCTAAACTGGTTGGCAAACCAGACTCAGGGCCCCCAGTTGGCTTGCTACCTGTTTCTAGGAATAACGTTTTCTTGGAGCACATCTCACCTACTGTATTTCCCCGAAAATAAGACATCTTCCGAAAATAAGACATAGCGCATGGAAATATAAGACATCTTCTGAAAATAAGATCTAGCTCAACTTTGGGAGAAAAAATTAATATAAGACACTGTCTTATTTTCGGGCAAATGGGGTAGTAGTTTATGGCTACTCTTATGCTAGTTGACTAGTATAGACGGTTTGGTCTGCACCTTATTAAAAATATTTATTATTTTTTAAAAGAAATAGTTTGCTGAATCCTGTGCTAGCTGAAGGGATATCTTTGAGAACGGCAGATTCATAAGAGCAAGCTGGGACCCTGAATGCATGGAAGGCCACTAACCAGGGACATCCATTGGGCCCTGCCTGAATGATGAACTCTCAGAGCATTAAATTATTGCAATTTTTATTTATTATAGCACTTAGCATTATTATTATTTAGCACGTAGGGCACAGGAGTCATAGTACCTTTTGTTCTGTTCAAGAAAGCCTCCTTCAAAAGAGCTAAGGACCACTCATTTGCAACACCAAACTCTGCTTTCTGTTTTTCAAGACAATGTATTTTAGGCTTTTCTCAACTGTTTGTCCTCTCTGTTCTTGGGAAGTTAATTTTCTTACCTCTCTATCCTGAGGCCCTGTAAGCCTCCCCATCTCCATTCTTTGGCTCAGTGGTAGAATGTACTCTTAAAAAAAAAAAAAATCTTTATTGTTTAACGTATTGCATGAGTCTTCTTTCCCCCCTATTGACCTCTCCCTCACCATCCCCTCCCCCTGGACCCTCCACGCCCCCTCCCCCACTGTCTGTGTCCATTGGTTTTGCTCATCTGCATGCATACAAGTCCTTTGGTGGTGGTTCTACCTACTCACTCCCGCCTTTTCTCAAGCCTGTCTATCCTTGATGCTATTATAAAAACTCTTCAATTCCTATACTTCTTCTTGATCAGTAATGTGATGTTCCCCTTCTTTGGATTTCTGCTGTTCCCGGAGGACATAATTGTTGCACCATGTTGTTTATTGTGTCTGGGTCTTAGTCTTCCTAAGCTAAGTATATAAGCTTCTTAGTTGGGCTGTCTTTAGTGCCCA